GTCTTCTCCCTCTTCGAAAAATCCCCTGCCAATGGACCGGAAAGTGGCAGCTTCTCTCAGGGGCTGATGCCTGGTCTGGGTGACAGGTGACCATTTACAAGTACCGCAGGTGCTGGCCCTCACGTCCGTTTTGTTTGTCTGGAACGCAGGAGCAGTATGAGCTGGTTTATGACGCGGTGATTGAGCTCTTCAAAAGGCAGATTAAAGCACTTGATGCCCAGGAATATTCTGCTGCTTCCCAGGTAAAAGTCCCCAGGATAAACACACACTGCCTCTTGCAGCCTCGGGCATGCCAGCTCTAACCTAGATTCCTACTGCAGAGGTCTCCTCTGCAGACCTGGAATGAATCGCCATGTTTTCTGCTACCCTTTATGCCCAAACTGAGCCCCTTTTCAAGTTAACCCATGAGAATCCAGCTGTTTCCCTGAACGCACAATGCTTATCACAGGATTTGGCCCCAAGTGAGAGCTAAATTTTCTTTGGTCTCAAAACCATTTCCTATATACTTTTATAATTGTTTGATGTAATGAGTGAATAGAAGAGCACCAACTCTCTACAGTAGTGGCTGATTTCCATGTGGACGTGCCAGTGAAACTTGTCTTCAGGGAGTGCTTGCAAGCAACAGAGCGGCTTTCAGTCTAGGCTGGGAAGCTTGTGTGCACAGGGTGGTATGGCTGAAGGGGTTAGTCTGCAACATGGTGGTATTCCAGTGAGGTAATTAGCATTACAGCCTGTCTGTGGGAGAGAGAGTAGGCTGAAATATCTTGTGAAAAAACATGTCAAAGTCTTTCAAATCTGATACACCTCCGAGGAAAAACAATGCGGTCTTGGTACGAAGTTGCATATAAACAGGAACATCCAAAACATCCATGGTTAAGCTTTTCTTTGTTCTTGCTGTTCTTCTGCGACTGCTGGCATGAACCTTACCTTGCCTGTGTAGCTGTTGGCAATCTGGCTGAAGTAAATGCATTGCCATTCTTAAGCAAAGGCTGAAAGATTAGGTAGCTTATTTTGTCAGAAGCTTTTGTCTAAAGAATTGGGAACAGGATCCTGCAATGGGACTCATGCCTCAGTTTTGCCATAGGATTTGCAGGATGTTCCAAGCCAGAGCTGAGTGAGAAAAGAGCTGGAGAGAGCCTCTTTCTATGTGTCGTGGACAGTCTGTAAGCAAAGCAGATGCAAGACTAGGTTGACACAAAATGCAAAAAACGGTTCAAGTCCGGATGTGGTTTTGTAGCTCCTGGCCAAACCTCTCGCCCGCCTAAACCTCACTGCCCTCTGAAAACATTTTGTAGAGCATGGGGGATGGTCATGTGCCGAAGTGTCACAAATGAAACCAGGCTGGATGCCCGCATGGGGTCCTGAAGGCAGAGTTGAGTGTGCAGGCTGTTTTGCAGGTGTTTGGAACAGCTGGACAGTTGTATGGCTCACTGTACTCTCATTTCAAAAAGGTGCTGACAGGAATTGCTGTTCAGGAGGATCTGTCCTCCGTTTTCAGCTCCAACTTGGTGTTTTCAAGTTGGTGTTTGTCACTTCCAAACTGTATTAATGATTAAAAGTAGTTGGCACAAATTCCAGCTCCTGAAACAGCATGTTTGTGTTCTTTGCATTCTTCCTCCTCACTCTCTTGTTTCCTAATCTCTTCTTTCACTAGGTACAAACAAGGCATCCTGTATCCAAGCCACTTCTGACTCCAGTGGAAGATATTCATTCTCTGAGATTACTAACCTGGTAAGGCCATTGCACAAGTATCCCCTGGGTTAGTATTTTCAGTCACCCATACAGTTTCCAGAAGATGCATTTTTTGTGTGTGCTTTGTGACACAGTTCTGTTTGAATGTTGCGTTTCAGTTGTCAGCAGGATCTGCAGCCCGCCTTGAGTCCCACTTGGACTCTCGTGTTTGTTCTAACATAACTCCTGCTCTTCTCACTTGATGTGTCTCAGCCTCTTCCCTGCATGCCATTATCTGTCCCCCTCTCCTGCCCTCCACGTTGTGCTTACATGGTGTTTCACGTACGAACTGAAAGCATGTCACAGGGCAGTATAAAAAAAGGCTCGTGCACGTGGAGACACCCCAGTGCTGGTTCATCTTGGCCCCCTGCCCGGCGCTGTGCACCCTGTGGGGTGCCCCGACCGCCCCATCTTCCATCTGCGCGTGCCACGCCAGTGCCTCACGCTGGAGGAGCAGCCAGCCCGAGGGGTCTAGCTTCCTGACACGGGCAGCTTCGGAGGGTGGCGGGATCTTTCTGTGGGCATGTTTTGGTTTGCAGCGTCTGCTTTCTGCAAATAATTTTGCTTTTTGGTATAGTCTGCACCGAGGGTGTGGTTTACCCGTGTAAAGGGGCCTCCTCTGTTCGCCATTTAATGGTGTTCAAATGGGGCACCGGGGCGCACAGTCCTTCCCTGTGCTCCCTGCTTGAGGCTGAACCGGGCTCTACGTTCCTGGGGACGGATCTGCTCTTAGGAGCCATGTTGTGGGGCCCTGTTAGTAGGCTAACAGAGATTTCTGAGCTTTGACTTCACATCACGGTGCTTTATTGCAGCTCAGAGCAAGAGGAACAGGATGTGCATCAACATCTTCCTCCAGCGGTACAAAGCAAAGCATCCCTGACACTGTTGTCTGCCACGAGAGTACAGGACAGCTCTGGACGTGAGGTCCCTCCCATCAGACAGGCCATCTCCTTTGGCACTCTGAACTTCATCAACTGCAGGAAGGCAGCTGCTGCTGAGAAGTGGGGCGCTGGGGATGCTCTCCAGAAACACCACAGTTTGGAGTTCAACAGCATCTCTCCTGAGCAGCTGCTTGGGAACCTGGGTCCGAAGGGAGCAGGCAGGAGATGGCCTCGTGGCAGACCACCTCTGACAAGGACTGCATCGACCCCTTTCGTGCTGGCGCAGCGGGGAGAAGGCTGGGAATGGGATGGAGGGGGCGCAAAGCCTGTTTTGAGTTCGCAGTTGCCAAACGCCTGTTACTCAAGCTTTCAGGTGAAGAAGCAGGATGGATTTTCCCCTGTTGAGCTGAACCACTCAAGCCAAGAAGCGGACAGCCACCCAAGACGCAGGAACCATGTGCAATGTCCTTACCCTTACTTCTGCTCAGCAGAAGACCCCTACTTCTCTTCACTCTCTCCAGACGACCCCGTGTCCCCAGTGTTTACTGAGTGCTTAGCGGAGGGGCAGGATGCGCTTCTCCCTTCTTGCACCGTGAGTGCCCCGCTGCAGCCTGCTGCGGCCAGCTCCCCGCCACCCAGGCCTGTGT